AGGGATGCAGGTCCTAGTCCCTCTGCAGGTCGTCCCCAGGACCCCAGGACAGACAGGGGCAGCCTCCCCCTGGCAGGACGTGCTCCTCCCCCCTCGCAGGGCCGGCCCTCCAGCTCCGCGGCAGCTCACCAGGTAGGCAGCGATGCCCGCCCCGATGAGGAAGCCCGCGTAGACATCCACCGCGTGGCTGCGGTGCTGGGTGATCTGGGTGAGCCCGCAGACGCCGGCGGCCATGGCGAAGGCGAACACCAGGACGGGCTTGAGCAGCTTCGTGGCGTCCGAGATGACGGAGTTGAAGTACATCTAGGGGGTGGGCAGGGTCAGGCCTGGCCCGTGCCCGGGGGCCGCGGGGGCTGGGGAGCACTCACCGACACGTAGACGGCGGCGAAGGCAGACAGCGTGGCGTGCTGGGACGGGAAGGTCTTCCTGCAAGAGCGACCCGTGAGCCCCCGCGGGGTCCCCACAGGGGCGCGGGGGTGGTGGTGGAGGGTGGTGGCTCACCGTGCCGACAGGATGGCGTGGGCATCGTGGCCAGAGCAGATGTCCTGCGTAATGTAGGGGTTGGCCTCGCAGGACGTGCCCAGTAGAGTGTAGTTGGGCTTGCAGACGGTCAAGAAGAAGGGTGCATGGTAGCCAGTGGCCAGCTGGATGATGTCGGTCACCAGAGCTGTGGCACACAGGCCGAACACGTGGACGCCTGCGGGGTCAGGGGGTCAGGGCCGGGACCGCAGGCACAACTGCCCCGCTGGATGGGCCCTCCGGGCAGCAGGGGAGATGCCAGCACTCACCCACGAACCGCACGGTGCGCCGCAGGAAGGAGTTGAAGTTGCAGCCGCCCGCGCTGATGCTGCCCTCGGCCCCGCCATCGGCCCCGCCGCGGCCCCACAGCCGGGCCTGAAGGCAGTAGAGCAGCCCCTCGCCGACCATGATCTGCCCGACAGGGAGCGGTCAGGCGGGCTGGGGCTGGGGCCGCGCCCCACGTCCCCACGGCCAGCCCCGGCGCTCACCGAGGCGGCTGGGGCCGCAAAGGCCAGGCTCAGCAGCATGAGCAGGGGGATGAGCTCCTCGCTGGTCTCCACGTAGGGCATGGACAGCGCGCGGTCATAGCACTGGAAGCCCACCTGCGCGGGCCTGAAGAGGTCGGTCAGCTCCAGGAAGTACAGCGACACAATGGAGGACGCCACAATGGGAAGCTGCGGCAGACACGGCAGCTCACTGTCCACCTGCCCAGCCCACGACCACCCTCGTCCAGCTGGCCTGTCATCCCAGCACCCAGAAACCAGGTCCTCGAGCCAGGTCTCTCCATTGCCACCCACCCACCCTCCACCTGCCCATCCACCCACACGCCCACCTGTCCATCCACCCACACGCCCACCCTCCACCTGCCCATCCACCCACACGCCCACCCTCCACCTGCCCATCCACCCACACCCACCACCCACACGTCCACCTGGCCACCATCCACCACCCACCCTCCACCTGCCCATCCACCCACACGCCCACCTGGCCACCATCCACCTGTCCATCCACCCACACGCCCACCTGGCCACCATCCACCACCCACATGACCACCTGTCCATCCACCCACACGCCCACCCTCCACCTGCCCATCCACCCACACGCCCACCACCCACCCTCCACCACCCACACCCACCACCCACACGCCCACCTGTCCATCCACCCACACGCCCACCCGGCCACCACCCACCACCCACACGCCCACCTGTCCATCCACCCACACGCCCATACATCCACCATCCACCACCCACACCCACCCACCCTCCACCTGTCCATCCACCCACACGCCAACCCATCCACCCACACGCCCACCACCTACACGCCCACCTGTCCATCCACCCACACATCCATACGTCCACCATCCACCACCCACACACCCACCTGTCCATCCACCACCCACACCCACCACCCACACGCCCACCTGTCCATCCACCCACATGACCACCCGTCCACCATCCACCCACACGCCCACCACCTACACGCCCACCTGTCCATCCACCACCCACACCCACCCAGCCACACCCACCATCCACACGCCCACCCGTCCATCCACCCACTGTCCGTTCCTATGGCCGGCCTGTTTTCTCAGCACAGGAATCTCAGACACTCCTGCCCCCACCTGGGAAGCGCTTCCCTTAGACACGCCATCTTGCCAGGCCTCCCTGGACGGCCTCCCTGGACGGCCTCCCTGGACGGCCCTGTCTGCCTCATTCTCTCAGGCCCCTCCCCCAGGAGCCACCTACACCACACAGCCCCAAGAATGGCCTCCAGAGGATGCATGGAGTGGCTGTCCAGCTTCTGCCGTCCCCACAGCCCAGCATGTAACCCACGTAGGAAGCACAAGGTATTCCTGTCGCTCTCTCCACCCTCTGCAGAGGGCAGGTGGCCAGGCCGGGACAGCCAGGCCCAGAGCCATGGGGCAGCAGGTCTCCTGGAGACCAGGGGCAGGAGGACAGGGCAGGGCCCGCTCGTTCGCCCCCTGCAGGGCCGACAGTCATAGGTGCAGGCAGCAGCAGCCTAGGCCGGGCTCACAAGTCTCCCCCCCAGGGGACAGAGCATGTGTCTCAGGGGCCTGGCCACCTGGTGAAGCCCACCTGTGGCCTTGGCCCTTACTCCAACCTGCAGACAGACTCCCAGGCCCAAGGTCAGGGCCAAACTGAAATTGAAGGTCCTAGGGGACACTGTGTTGAGGAGCTGGGCTCCTGTCCAAGGGGCATCCCTGAACACCTCTGCCTGCAGGTAAGGCCCAGCAGGAGGCAGGCACAGCCTCTTCCTGGGCTGGCACCTGGTCTCCCCCGTCTGAGTGGGTGAAAAGCGCCTGGTGCTTGGCCGGGCCCTGCGAGGCCTGCCTTGTCTCTTGTCACCACTCTCCGCCAGGCTGGCTGCAGCCAGCGAGCTCTCAGCCCTCAGCAAGGCCTGGGCTGTAGCTCAGGAAGAAGAGTGCTCGCCTGACGCGTGAGAGGCCCTGATCAAGTCCTGAGGCTGCAAAAATAAAAGGGCTGCTTTAAAGTTCTCTGTGGATCCCACCCGTGATGCTGGGCGTCTCGGGCAAGTTGACTTCAACGCCCTGCTCACCAGCATGCTGACAGAGGGCAAGCAGGGTATGGGGAGGTGGCCCAGACTCTGGGGAGGAACCCTCTGGGCACCTGGGAGCCACAGCAGGACCTGGGGCTGGGGAGAGGCCAGATCTGATATGAGCTCTAATTTGGGGAAGGGAAACCAGGTCATGATGGAGGCAGAATCCCAGCTGGGCCAGAGGTGGGTGCAGCAGTTGGTGGGGCATGGCCTGGCTCCATGGGGCCATGTAGGGTCCCGCAAAAGAGCCCACCACCCTGGAAAGTCTGCAAAAGCCTCCTAATCCCCTCCACCCACCCCTCACTCACTCGGGTGACCCTCAGCTGAACATCACAGCACCTAAGAACACAGTGGCCCCGGGGCTGTGGCTCAGTGGGAGAGCACTTGCCTAGCACGTTCGAGGCCCTGGGTTCGAGCCTCAGCACCATATTAAAATAAATAAATAAAAAAGCACACAGTAGCCCAGAGAAGGGGCTGCTGCCATCCAAGGTGTCCTGCCAATGTGCTGCTGAGACACAAAGGAAGAAGGGACATCGCCTGGCCCTCAACAGCTCCAGAGGTCGGGGCCAGCCTGGGTGAGACCCTGGCTCAAAATAAAACACCAGGGCTGGGGTGCACTCGGTGGTGGGCCTGCCTGTGTCAGGACGTCCTGGCTCTATCCCGGCACTGCAGGTGAGTAAGGGGGAGGGGGAAATGAGGGTAAACCAGGTCTGAAGGCAACTTCCAGAGGTTAGAAACGAAAGGAGGCAGCCGCGACCTGCTGCAGTCCACCCACCAGTCTTCCGTTTGTGTTTTTCAGTCATGGACAGACACAATACTTTATTTGTCTTTGTGTGGTGCTGAACCTCGGCCTCACACATGCCAGCCACCTAGGTGCTCTGCCACTGGGCCCCACTCCACCAACCTCATCTTCAACGACCAGCACAGCCGCGCGCCGTGGCGCACACCTATCACGCCCGCGGCTTGCGAGGCTGAGGCGGGAGGATTGCGAGTTCAAAGCCAGCCTCAGCAAAAAACGAGGCGCTACACACCTCAGTGAGGCCCTGTCCCTAAGTAAAATACAAAAAAGGGCTGGGATGTGGCTCAGCGGTTGAGTGCCCCTGAGTTCAGTCCCTGGTACCAAAAAAAAAGACAGACAGACAGACAGACAAGCAGATATTCTACAACACGGAAGCCGTGCCCCGCAGGGCGCCTGGGAGACCCGTCCGCCAGACCCTTCCTAGGGCTGGGCGCCTTTGTAGATAATTCCCACCCACGCCACTCTAGAAGTGGGGGGGCTCCCGCCTGAGACAGGGGTGCTGCACCTGCCAAATGATTAGCAAGGGAGGGCTTGAACTCCGACCTCAGGCTCCAGCCCCACCTCCTCTGGCCTCCCAGCCACCAGCCCCTCCAGGCCAGCTACTGACCTGCACCCCTGACTAAAGGTCCCACCTCCCAGCACGTGCCCTCACTGTCCCCTGGGTGCCTCTAGAACTCCTACTCGACCTGCAGAGCCCATCTCTTCCGACCCACTTCCCAGGTCCCACCCAGCCCCAGATTCCCTGGTCTGCCCCGCCCAAGGCGGCCAGTGGCAGCAGGGCCCACTCCTGCCTCCCAGACTGGGGTCACGGAAGGTAGGCGGAACTGCGGCCTCACCAGCGCGACCCCCACGCACCTCCACGAAGTAGAAACAGGGCAGAAGCGTCATGCTGTCCTTGGGGGTTCTCTTCTTCTCCTTGGCGGTGATCATGGTGTCGCGGGCACGGTAGGCCGAGGTCGGAGAGGAACAAAGCCACACTAGAGGGGAGGCGTGCAGACTGATCCCTGGGGGTAGCCGGTGGCCAGCGGGGAAGGGTCGGGCAAGGGTGCGCAGGAAGGGCCCAGGGAAACAGGCTGGAGCCGAGGGCGACCCCGGCCCGGCTTCGCAGTCAGGCTTCTGGGCGCCCTGCCCCGGGAGCGCGGTCCAAGGAGCCAGCCAGGAGGCCGGGGGCTGCTCCTCTCGCCAGGGCGGCGCAGCCCGGGCTTGGGGTCGCGGGCGCGGCGGGGTGGGGTCCGCCCGCGTCCGCAGCCCCCTCACCTGGGGCAGGCGCCGAGCGGCGGAGCTGGCGGCGGCAGCGGCGGCGGCGTCGCGAGCACAAAGCGCGGCCCCTCCCCGCGGGGGCGGGGCCGGAGGGAGGGTCCCGCGGAGACCCGCGGCGGCCGGGGCGCGG